TCCCATGGGGTGCTGTGGTACCCCACTGTGCACAGCCACATCCCCGCTGGTCTGAGGGCAGAGCACCCTGCAGATGATGCCATCCAAGATGTCTTTCCCTAAAAGCTGTTTCCCTGAAGGCTTCCTCTGTCCCACACACGCAGTGTGACTCATCCCTGTGCGTGCACTTTTTGCAGCTTCCTTTGGCATTTGCCATACTTTGCTGGAGAAAATGAGATAATTCCTGTTTTGCTGGAAGGCCTTGCTTTGCCATGGCTCAGTGCATTTTGGGAGAATATTGCTACTCTGGTGACTGCTGTTTGGAGACACAAGTTTCTCTGTGATAACAGACTTTGTGAGTATTTAATGTTTATTGGTAGAGGAAAACTTACAGGGAAAATGTAAATGATGAGCAAGAGCAAAGCTGATACAAGACCTCTTCATGAGCATTTCAATTTCTTCTAAAATGAATTATATAAAATTAATTATATAGAATGATAGAATCTCCTAAGGTTGAAGGGACCCATCAGGATCATTAAAATCCAACTCCTGGCCCTGCACAGGACAGCCCCAAGAGTCACACCATGTGCCTGAGAGCATTGTCCAAACGCTTCTTGAGCTCTGTCAGGTTGGTGCTGAGATCACTTCCCTGAGGAGCTGTTCCAGTGCCCAACCACCCTCTGGGTGAAAAACCTTTTCCTGATATTCAACATAAACCTTCCCTGACACAGCTTCCTGCCATTCCCGTTGCTCCTGTTACTGGTCACCACAGAGAAGACATCACTGCCTAACTCTGCTTTCTCTCATAAGAAAGCTGTAGACCATGATAAGGATTCCCCTCAGTCTCCTCCAGGCTGAACAGACCAGGTGACCTCAGCCACTCTTCACATGCTTCCCCTCAAGGCCTTTCTACACAGAATGAATAGTTCCAAAATGAATTGTGTGTAGATGTGCACTTAGGGACATGGTTTAGTGATGGACTTGGCAGTGTTTGGTTAATGATTGGGCTTGATGATCCAGGAATAAATGAATCTATGACTAAAATATAAGTGCAAGTTTTCTGGAAGAAAAAAATTGAAATACCGGTTTAGAATCAGTTACCTAGAGATCAACAACCCACTCTGCCATGCCATGCCTGGCCTCTCAGCTATTCTGGGGAGTCTGCCTGGGCACCCACATGCTCTGTGTCAGTCTAAATACACCCTCCCTTGGGCAATGCACTCAAATGTCCCAGCCACAGCTCTCCTGCCACAGCTGGAGAGTCAATGTGGTGCTCCCGACTGGCACAGCAACTGGTGAATGTGAGCTGGGGAGTTCATGGCACTGTGACAGCAGGGCTTCCTGTACACAGCCAAGCAGCCACCTCTGCTGAAATTATCCTCACGTGAGCTTGCTCATTTTATGGTTTTATACTTTCAGTTTCTAGGTGGGATAGAAGTAAAGCAAAAGCAGAGAATCACGATAAATAGTAGGGAATTACATTTATGGCAAGCCCACATTTATTCACGGAAATCTGGTTAACTGGGTTCTAAATAGTTTTACTTAAATCTCTTAAGTTTCCATCTGAATAAGGTCTTTAAAAGCAGACAGATGATACTAAATCAAGTTCATTGCAGGCTTAGCTGCAGGAGCAAGTTATCCCAGCCCACTGATCCACTCTGACTATCTGCAGCAAATGCTAATTTGAGGTAACAGACCCTTGATGAAGGAAAAAAAAAGGGGATTAGCTAAAGGAATATCCATCCCAGTAAGTCAGGGTGATGTGATTTTTATTTAGATGCTTTAATTAATCAAGCACAATCTTCTTGTGTAAAGAAGCTTCTCATTGCTCTGTGGGACTCAGAGCATTCAGGTACAGGACAGCAGAGTGTCCGAGGCCACTTCATCAGAATTATTACCCCTCTCACTGTCTGTGCACATAATCACCACAGTCCTGCCAAACTGAAACAATGTCCCAGCTGGGTCACTTCAGGTGAAGCCAACAGGCTGTGCACTGGCTTCTCTTCCCTTGGCATCAGCACAAACATCCCCAGCGGCACGCCGGGAGCCGGTGCCCGTGGCCAGATGTGTGCTGTCCCATAGCAGCTAGCACCCTCTGGACAAGAGGTGCTTGTTTTTCTCCTGTGCTATTTTGACACACAATGCCAAGCCATTCAATTGCTTCACAAAACAGAGCCTGGTCTCAGCAGGCATGAAGCCGCCTGGGTTATTTTGGCCCTCCTTTGGATGTTTCTTCCTGTGCTAACTTGAAGTTGTTACAAATACAGGCTTCAGCTTCAAAGAGCAGTGTGAGGAAGAGCAATCTGCCTGTCCCAAGCCAGTTGTCCCCAGTGGAAGAGGTGAAGGTATTAGGTATGGCTGTCAGGTCGTCAAGTATGGCTCCAAAGCCCCCAGAGGGATCTGTACCCTGCTGGAGACCAAGGACGGAGGAAAAGTGTGCTTGAGGAGTTCTAGAGAAGTGCTGTCATGGGATCTGGGGAAGGATGTCCTGCCCAGCACCTCTGCTGCTTTTTCCAATGGCTTCTGTTGATCTGGAGACAGGAACATGGTTTGTCCCTTGGAGCCACAACAGCTCTCATGTTGTGTTTCTCTTCATACATGCTAAGTGGCCCCTCAAGTTCCTTGTTAAGACAGAGACAGCAATGTTATCCTCCAGGATATTCCCACATCAGCTCAGATGCTGGGGTGCCTCTGCATCAGGGATGCAGGGCCTGAATGGCCATGCCCTGGTGTTCAGAGGGCTCAGGCTGTGGGAGCTGCTGTAACTCACAAGCCAATTGCATTTTTCCTGGACGCCTCTCCTTGCAGCAAACCGGGTCTGTTTAGCCAAAGCTCAGGTTGCCTTTCTGAATGCTGTGTCAATTTGAAAAGAGTGGGGACCCTCTTATTTGGAAGAGTAAATCATGCTCTTGAATAAAAAATTGTGCCAAATTTATGCTGAGAATTTTATCTGCCTAATAAAATTTATATGCATTGGTTGAGGCCAGTTCTTCTGGATTTTTGGCAGAGGCCCAATTGATGAAAACCTTACTCTTAGTAGTGTCCATGGCCTTCAGCTTTGTTTGAAGATCGTTTACATGCTCCTCATTGTAGCAGGAGCAGCTTTCACAAAGTTCAGAGTCCTTCATTCAGGCAGTAACATCCTTCAGCTGACAATCTGCACACCTTCTTGTGCATTCAGAAAATGCCAGTAGCTGTTTTTGCCACAGTGCTGCCCTGAAAACTCACATTTTATTGCTTCTCCAGTAGGAACCCCAGATTATCTATCATCTCTGCTTTCCAGGATCCAGGGCAGAGCCTGCCCACCTTGTTCCCAAGCTGCCTACCTTCGTGCTTACAAAACAACCGGTATAAGTACTTTGGAAACTTAAAAAAAAAAGAAATATTATTCCTCTCTAACCCCATTTCTATTTAAAATCCTGCCAAACTGTCTCCTGCAAATATGAGTGCAGTTACTGTCAGATGGGCAGTACTGCCCAACAGCATTGAGCTCAACTCCATTTTTGTCACGATTGGGCACCAGTTTTGCAAAAGCCCAACCACATCTTCCACTGAGACTGCACTCTCATTCTGCTTTTGTATATATCTGATAGGTGTTTCTGCTCTGCTTGGAGTGAAACTCCTTTTTTTCATTGCTTTCACTGAGTAAATATGTACTCAGTGCCATGACATTGTTCTTTGAGCTTGGGCTGTTTCCAGCTGATTAATTATTACAGCCATGAGGTAGATTTTACAACAGGAGGACAGGGATGTGCGTCAGATTGCTGGCCTGAATGGACCAGTATCCTGTCTCCAAGATTTTGGATAAGTATTTGGACAAGATTATTGGAGCCAGGGCAAGTGAATTTGCCTTGCCGGAGTGAATTTATCCTTCGTAAAACCCCCTGCCATTTGCTAATCAGCACTTTGAAGAGTTTGTGTGCTGGAGGTTGTGTCCGAATGATTATTTAATCCCAATGGACACACCTTGCACAAATGGGCACTCTGATATTCCCTGGCAATGAGTTTCTTTGTTGTGTATGAGTTTTCTATGTTGTGTAAAAAAGTACTGCTCTTCAACTGCTTCAGAGCAATTGCCTAGTAATTTAACCATAGAACAAGCATTTTGATTTTGTCAGATATACAGGCTAGGAAAGTGATGTCCTGTATGTTCACATTTCCCAGAACCATGCGTTCACATGGTTTGGGCACAGGTTAAATCTCAGCTATCCAGATAAACGCATTAGCAAGTGACAGTGTTCAGTGACACTCTCTGGGCACACATTACTGGTGCCACCTCTGCAGGAGCCCAGATGAGACCTACAACAACTGGATTTGCCAGGTCACTGGGTCATCAAACGGAGACAAGTGGCTGCCATTCCTCAGTGGTGCTCCCAGGAGAAGGGCAGTCAGGGAGTGTGAGCTGGATGAGCAGCGCTTTCAAGCTTGAGTGGCTGAGCAAGAGGCACTGTGTAACCCATCCTTGCTGCTTCTGGAAGCACGCTGGAGCTGCCTGCCATTGCACTCCCTGCCTGACCATGGGCTATATGGCACTCTGCAAAGAGACAGCACGTGCAAATATCTTGGACATCTGTATTTCCAGTCATGCAAAGAAAAAACTGCCCATTGTGTGCAATCAACAAACATATATTTGAGGATTTTTTAAAAGCTTTTCTTTCAGAGCGCTGTCTGTTTTTCACTGAGGAGTGTTACTTTATTTCAAAGAGGAAGCAGGTGCTTAGAATGGATGTTTTTGCAGTGAGGGGAAATTGCAGGACACTTGGCCATAGCTTGGCCTCGCTTTGCCTGATTCAGAAAGCCCCATGCTCAGCAGACCTGTGTGTGCTGAGCATCCCTCCCAGCCTGCAGGGTGGCAGCAGCCAGCAGTCCCTTCCCCTGGCAGCCCGGGGGGCACACTGTTCCTGCCCGTGCACACATGTGCCTGCACACAGGCTGTCTCCACAGTGTGAAGGGCACCAGGCTGTCTTTATGTTTTACTACTTGACAAAGCAGAGATAAAAGAGAAATTTCTGTGGCGACAAAATTGTCCTGGAAACAAGCGTTGCTGTCAGTCGGGGCCGTACATGACACCCTGTACTTGGGGAGTCTTGCAAGCTTTGGCCAAAAGCCTAGACTTGACAGGGATGGGAAGGGGGAGGAGAGGAAGGCAATACTGACTGTTTCTCTGTCTTTTCTTTGGCTACCCTTTCTTTCCTACTTGAGTGAAAGTAGCTACTGGATTGAGAAGCATTTGAGCAGGATTTACTAACTGCTGTGCCACCTGCTTCTCCACAAACCTGGCAGAATCCAATTTTTCTTCTTCTTCACAAGCTTTTCGAAGAAATAAACAGGTAATCAGTTTTAACCAGAGATTTATTTCATCTCGTTGCCTCACCAATGTTTTGAACATTCCATAGCAGTTGTGCATGAAATGTGCTGTTTCATTACAATTATTATTGTGAATTATTCACAAGTATGGGGAGAATTCCCACTCACCACGGTCACCTTCCAGGGCAGTGGTTTCCATGTGTGCTGAGCCATGATGTCTGTGCCCAGACAGATGCTCCTCGTGGGCAGTGAGAAGGAGCACACTGAACAGGAGCTGATTCCTAGGCTGTCTGCTGACAAGTGACCCTGGAGGCAAGGCCAGCACAGGGTGGAGGAGCAGGACTCAGCTCCCTCTCCACACCCCGTGTCTGGTATTGCTCAGTGCAGGGGCTGCCTGAGCATGGCATGGGGCAGGCACAGTGTGCTCGCCCTCCTTCCCCTCCAGCAGCCTTTTGCACAGACCTGCTGAATGGATGGGAGGAGGGAAAAGAAACAGGAACTTCTCTTTGGAATCACATCATCCCAAAACTGAGAGAAGAAGCGAAAGTTAAATAAAAGGGACTGTTTTTAGCAAAGGCTGTTTAACTTCCTAACCTCACAGTGAGTAGCTCCCATGCTACAGTCCGTGGAGGCATGGCTTGATTCAGTGCAACAGTTTCAGCTGCATATTTCCTGTCACTAATTTGTATTAATTACCAGCTGGCATTATATGAAACATTTTCTGGGTGTCTTCTAATGTGGAGGGAAATCTCAGACTACCTCTAGAGGGAAATTTAGCAAAAAATTATTAAAGTCTCAGTTTCTGAGTTACTAGGGAAGCATTAGATGAAAGTAGGTGCAGCTTTCTACACCCACTGTGGTTAGTATGACATAACACATCCTAGCCCAAAAAAGAAATAGCACCTTGACTATTTTTCTGTGCCTGCATTGCTCAAAAAACTCTGGCACAGTAGAAGTGCGGGCCTGATCTGCAGATGAAGGGTTCATACAATTTTCACTTGTGAAAGCTGAGAACAGCATAGCAGGAACTCACACCCAGCAGGACTTTCAAAAGTAGGTGGGTGGTAAAGTTGAATGGCAAGTCAGGAAAATTTTAGCATCAACTCTAGTGCAAATATAGCTTGAAATCCTATTAAACTCTAGGAAGACAACATGCTAGCAGGTGACAGTGACTTCATAGCTATCACCAGGACCCTGGTATTTCCTCTAGTTTCATCACTGCATGTCCCAGATGTGGTCAAAACCAATTTTGATCAAAAGAGGTAACCTTGGTTTTTTTGTTTTCAGATTGAAAAAGGGAAACAAATGGGATAACCACAAGCATTGTTCTATAGTGTATAAGACTAATCCATGAAAGGTGCATAGAATTATAATTTCCATGGGAAAATAAATGAAAACTTGGCATGCTCCTACACAGCTACCATAAAGTAAAACTTCAGGGTGATCCAGGGCTCAGAAAGCTGTATTTCCTCTCATATAGACCCAGGATAAAGAGTTTCTTGAAATATCATGAAAAGTACTGTACTGGGCACTCAATAAGCCTCCCATCCTCAGGATGATATTCACATCTGTTGCTCTGTGAATAAGAAAGCATTTCATATTTCTTAGACAAAACTAGGCTAAGATGGAATTATAGCTGGGAGCAGATTCATAAATTCCAAGTAAAACATATTACAGGACTGTAACAATTATCTAGCAAAACAAAGTATGTTAAACTCTGGAAAAATCAGACTTGCAGGTAAATTTAAATGGAAATGAAAACACGTGAACACAGAGAGACATAGACAGCCAAGCACGGCAGGGACGATGATGCATCTGTGAGCATGGTGTCAGTCCAACCCCACAATTTGGGACAGCACCTCATGGGATATAACCTGTTTCATCTGCTGTGTGTTCAGCTGAGGGCCCTGGGGCCTTGTTCTTACAGTCTTACTTCCATTTAAATGAAAATATGTGTGAAAAATGGTGCTGATTTATTTTAATCAGGTATACATATTATCCTGGAACTCTTTCCCGTTAGTTGGTGTAGACATTAGAGTATGTCAGTCCAAAACCCAAAATTTATTATTAGTTCTATAAAAGGTCATACCACTGTAAGATCCTGCATTACCCCATCTTTAGCTTTCCAAGCATGCTGCCACACTGACTTTTTATAAATTTTTTAAGTAGTTGTATCATCTCTTCATTCTCAAAAGCAGTTATGTCCCTCTGGTATTCATGGGAAGATAGACATCAAATCTCTTATTTTCTGATGTCCAGACCCAGCTTATCATTGGTTATATGACATGCCTAGTTATGGCACCCTGAACCCAAATATTTACTCTTGGCTGTAGTTACCAACAGCAATTCCACCTAATTCATACCTAAGGAGCCAGAACCACTAGCCACCCCCTCAGCTCCAGTTCTGCCTGCTGGCTGAGGAATGGCCTTTCCCCCTCAAACAGAGATTTCTTTAAACCCAAGCCTGTAAATAAACTACTTTGAGGTTGGAGTTTCATGTAATTTTTAGGTCAGACTGAAAAGTGCTTCTAGTAGCAATAGAATCTCCCCACCCTCCTTTCATTTCAGTTAGGTTTAAAAGAGATTTCATCCACGTTGTTCACGTAAAAAACCTCTCACTCCCTCTCTCAAGTGGTTTGATGGGGTTTTACATCTCTGTCTGATCTGCAGGGATTTTTTTCTAGGCATGTACAAGGTGCCTGCTGTCCCTGGGGCAGGTAAGCAGAGCTGCTGCTTGACTCTTGGGCTTCGCTTCAGCTCCTTTCTTAGAAAGTACAAGCCATGCAGAAAACCTTGCTGAAAAGTCACTGCGTGCCTTAGAAAGTGAAAAACAAGCTCTTGGGCAGGGCCTGAGAGTCTGACTGTTAGCACTGTGCTCCGAAAGCTCGGAGGAGATGGAGCTCCTTGGGGAGGCCGTGGGTGGATGCAGGGGTGGCAGAACACCCCAGTCCCACCCCTCTGGCCTCCTGTGGCTTCACCATAAGCAAGTAGTGAGTAACCATCATGCATTTAATCTCATATTACGTTATGCAGCAGAGACAGCTTAAAAATAGGTTTCTTGGTGGCAGCCCAAACTTCCCATCCCTTGACATGTGCCTGAGTCTGGCTGTGATGGTCATGGAGGCAAGAGCTTTGCTCAGTAGAACATGAACTCAGCAACTTTTTCTAGCTAGTTTCTGCAGATACTTTGAAGGGTGCCAGTGAAACTGCTGCTGTGGATTTGTTTTGCCTGTATTCTGGAGTTGAAATTTATCTCTAACAAAAGGGTAGAGGGAAGAAGAAACACTGGGACCTACACTACTGCAAAGCAGATTTAGATGCAAAGTAGGTGTGCCATGGTCTGGACCAGAGTATACAGAAATGAATGTGAGACTGGTGAACAGAGACAGCCCCAGCAGCAACGAGTCCTCAGATGAGTCCTCAGATGAGGTGTAAAGAAGCATCAGGTATGGCTGCCCTGACGGGGGGCATTTCCATCCCCCTCTCCACCGAGGCATTTTTTCCATTTCCTATTTTCAGGCTGTGCTGCTCAAACTTTTGCAGAAACCAAGTTACTGCCCCATAGCCCAAGGTTGTCTTACTGTTCCCTAGTAGGCTGAGAGTGTTAAGATAGTGCATGTCCCTATGGGAAGGTTATCAGAGAATACTTGTTTTGCCATGTGAGTGTGACACTACCCTATGACCCACTGGCATACGCCAAAACCAGTAAACACTTTGGAAAAACTGAACTTTGCATCAGACTGACTTGAATTAGATGTTTTAACGAGAACAACTCACATACACTGCCTGTTCTTTCTATCTTCCATATCACATAAAGATTTGCAGATGGTTTATGAGACGTTACGGTCTGTGCTCTCACAGCTGCAAGATGTTCAAGCTGTTTATAGAGGCTATAAGAGAACAAATTCAGCCTTGTCCCCTTCCCCACCTACATGAGAAGCTATACGTGGAACAAAGTGTCTAATGTTTGCACTGAACCTTGCTTCCACTTGCAGAGCTGAAGACACGAGGAAACAAGAACAGAAGACTGCAGGACCTGAATGTAATCGCAGGCGTTCACTTGAGGCTTCTTTCAACACCCCGCTCTGCAGTACAGGTTTAATATTTGCACTGTTATTCTGATTGATACTTCTTTCTCATATGAACTTACTGGGGAGAAAAGGTGCTTCCTGAGGGGACCTACAGCTGTGCATCCAGAACAGACACAGTAAAGTATCTGTAACCTCAACATGACAGGAAAAAACTTTGCTCTGCCAACACCACCCCTTCTCCAGCCTGTCATCACTTGGCAATTTTTGGTGTTCAGTCACACTGCTGACAGAAATTGTGTGACTTGCTTAAACAGGAGAATCTGTGCTCTGGATAATGCCAGTGAATCATCATCAAACTTCTGGGAAAAGGTTTTTACCAAGGTTAGCCAACAGAGCTGTAAAGTCACCTCAGAAAAATGTCATATTTAAAGTAGTGGAGGGGAAAAGTCTTGGCTAAGTGAGGGAAAGGCTTAAGAATCGACATTGCTCTCAGAGGGAAGGGATAACTATCATGTGCACTTTTATTTGCTGTGAAATAAATTAGACACAGCAAAAAGTAGCATTTACAGAGAATTCTGCCTGGTCCTGCAACAGCTATGAAACCCAAGACTACCGGAAAGGCAAAACCTGGACTTTTTGCTCAGTGTGTGTTGAAGGGACTGCTCCAAGCTGCCATCTCTGATGGGTCAGCCTCTCCCTGCCACAAGGTGTGCCAAAAGCTGACACTGCATTGTGAAGGTTGGTGTGACTGAGGAGCTTCATCTACAGCTGAGAATAGGACCTAGCTGACTGAAGTAAGAGCAGGGACGTCTGAAGGCTCGTGTTTCATCCTCCCAGAAAAGGTGCTTGGGTGATCAGGAGCCTGCCAACAGGCTGTCCTGCTCTGAAGCAGATTTCTCACAACACGATGGGACCTGTGACTAGGCACGAAGCCTGGGGAGAATTCTCACTCTTGGATTAAAGGAAAAAGTGATTTTCACAGTTTCCAGGAATGAATGGTGAACGGTAAGATCAGCTAGGTTGATTTTCGTGAATATTATGTTAAGGACATCCAAGAAGAGCAAAATGTGATTGAAGACGGGTCAAAAGAGTGGCTTGCTCAGAATTTTGTAAGAGGCACAGCTTCTCTTGGGACTCTGACAACCAAATAAATATGAAATGTAACAAACCAGGACCCCATCTGACTCCAGAACAACTGAGAGGTCCACATGGAATTTTGAACCGCAGAGGTCAGAGACAGATTTCAGGGCACTGTATGGCTGAAGATATTAAAACAGTGTTACATTTAAGAGACTGAAGAGCACAATACCACAGCCCTGCTGCAGAGATCAGGAATGGCTTAACAAGCAATGAGCTAAGGTCTAAAGCTTTGCCTTTGTGGGTTGTTAACTCAAAACAAGTGCAAGTGTTGGATTCTGGGAAAAGAATGGGTGGGAAGGAAGGGGAGGGGAAGGGAGAGGGGAAGGAGGACGAGAAGGAGAGGAGAGGATTTAAAATCTAACCCAAGGAAATCCTATGTACTTGTTGTAAGTTAAAAGCATAAAAATGTACAGCCACTATAGGGATAAAGGCATTAATCTCTATGTAACTTGACTGGAGAGGCCCAGAAATTCAGATGCACAAGGCTCCTGTTCTTGTGTCGTAGTGGATATTGCTATGAACCATGAGTATTTTGTTCATTTTGGCACTGAGCAGATAGCAAGAACCTGGAAGGGATTCAAAAAACAGTAGACATGATTTAGGAGACACTGGAAGAACTGGTTTGAGAAACAAGCAAACCAATGTAAAATGGGATGAGAAATATGTTAGAGCTCTTTAGAGAGTATAAAACCACTGAGAGAGGATCTATTTAGTTTTATAGAACAGAATGTAAACAAAATGAATGTACCATGAGTAACACAGAGCTCTGCAAAATTAACACTAGCTGGTCTCACTGCACTGATTTAAGTTACCAGTCCTTTTTCTTGCATCTCAGCTACAACCAGGGCAGCAGCAAACAGGCAGTGCAGTCTCCCTTCCACTGGCAGCCCACTGCATGATGGATTTAAATCCTCACTTCTTCCAGGCTAGAAGTGCATTTCAAATTTGGGTGAGCTTGGGTGGCCAGTGCAGGTCTGCTGCCATTGTTCCTGCCCCAATATCTCCAGCAGTGCAGGGATGAAGAGGAAACAGTGGTTAGTAATTTCCCCAACTACCCCAGGAATAGCTTCTTGTTGCTGTGAGTAACCCCCAGCAGCAGCTTCTCTGTGAGGGTCTTCAATAAATCTGTGTGGAGGTGAGGTAATAAAAGCAAACACCTTGATCTGGTGCCCCACACCAGAACCCCTCTTTTGAGTACTGCCAGCTCCAGTATGCACTGTACACGACTTCACTTGCTCCTTCCAGCTGCCTGGCCAGCAGCTGCTGGGCACTGCTTTCCTCTTTGGCCACATTGCCTGCAGTGCATCAACAGACCAGTGAGCCCCAACAATTTCAGATGATCTCTCCCACTCCTTCACAAGCCCTGTGCACAGCAGGAGAGAGGAACAACAGCAGGGGTGAGCTGCCTCTTCAGATAAGCCCACTCCTTGAACTCCTGAGCACCAGCTTTTGTTTTATCACCTTCACGACTTGCACATGCACAGAGAGCTGGCAGCGTGTCTAGCATCCTTGCAGCCCCACCTCCTCCCTTTCCAGCACTCATCCCTATTTCTAAAGCAGGCATGAAGCTGCAGATGCCCATACTGAGCCCATGCTAAACATTTCATGATAGAAATCATGATGCTTTTCTGTGAGGCATGGCTTGCTCCCCGCTAGTGGCCCTTTGTGGGATGCTCATGCCTGCAAGTGACCAGAGGGGTGCTGTGCCCCCAGTGGGATGCCTGCCCTTGCACCCATGCACTCCCACCCCCATGCACTCATGCACCCGTGCATTGATGCACCTGCACACCATGCACCCGCCTTCCCATGCACCCACCTTCCCATGCACCATGGATCCAGGAAGCTGCAGCAGCTCCTGCCAGCACTGCAGCAGCGCTGTTTGCTGCCTCCACTTCAGTGGCCATGGCAACTGTTGTTGTGTGATGAAGTGTTGCCAGGATCCAAGCCAGGAGCAGAACTCTGTAAAGGAAATGAAAAATAAAAAAAATCAAACCATGGAAAGGCATGATGTCAAGCCAATGAAATCCAAGCACTCCTTTTGCCTGGTGTCACACTCATTTTTCCACACTGGCTGCCTGCAATCCATCCTTGCCACAGCTGACCCAAGGACCAGCAGCTGAAGAGTCACTGCTCAAACCAGCGTGTGTGGTTGTTTCTGCTACTGTGTTCTTTCTTTTTCCCAGTGACAATCAAGAGCAAATTGTACCCACCACTCATCTAGTTGTTCTTTAAGGAAGTGGTTCAGACAATGAAACCCATCTTACCGAGCAGCTAAACCAACAGAACAGGCTACCTACTTCAGGGTACCAGGCTGGATGGAACAGCTTAAATACTTGTTCTGTTGACCCGGAGTTGTTTGTATTTTCTTTGCTGAAAATCCCTTCATTGAAAGAAGGGAGGTTTTTAAAGGTGCCAGAGCTTGAAGGTCTCTTTAGGTTCGTCTCCATGAGGGGCAAATTCACCAAGGAAGCAGGAGGCCTGGGTGCAGGGAGGCCTGAGCCCTTCCTGTGCCAGCCAGTTCAGGTGCAGGAGCCTCATCCCTGCTATGGTGAGCCCTTGCCAGGCCAGCGGTGTCCCAAACAACCATATGGGAAATACACTGCACCCTACAGAGCTGCAACTCAGCTGGAGCAGGCAAACTGGGGGATTTCTGAACACCTCTCATTCCATAACAGGACAGAAGAAAAGACAGGCACTGGACAGGGAAAGTCTCACACATTAAAAAAAAAAAAAAAAAAAAGGTGGAAAAGCAGGAACAGAAGTGAAGGAGCAGGTATTAACTACCAGCATTTAATCCCTGGATTCCACAAGGACATCTCACCTCTGCAGCCTTTAGCCCTTGCCAGGCTGGCCTGCCAGAGAGTGTGTTTGGGAGAATGAAAGGGAAATGGGGAATGAAGGCTGTTTTCTAAACAAGGGAAGGGGAAATTGCCTCTGTCCCCAGACACAGTGGAAATTTGAGGAAATGCTATGTTTGCACTGGGCAATTTCTGTTTTTCTGTCAGAGTTTTCAATCAACACTAACCTTGGTAACTGGTGTCTGTGAGCTAAACACTCTGAGACAACAATGCTGTGAGGAGAAAAAAAACACTGATGGAGCTTTAAATTACTTGCAAAAAGTCCCCCGGTGAGTGCTGTTTCCCTGCCACTGCTTCCACTCACTGTGAAACCCAAAGTGCCCCATCTTATTCCGAGCTCAGGAGACCCCACAGCTCACAGCTCCTTCAAGGTAGCAGCCACAGCTGCTTTCCCTGTCAATGGCAGTGAAACCCCAGCCACTCTTCCCTGGCAGCATCCTCCGGGGCAGCCTGAGCCTGCGGGAGGCGGGGAGCAGGGAAGGTGCAGCCAATGGTCCCCAGGAGATGCCAGCCCCTTCCTCACACCTGGGACAAGGGCAGGAACCTCGGGTGAAAGTTTTCACCCCTTAAAATGTATAAACGCATGTTTATTTTAAAAGGGACTCTGAGCAAAGACACGAGAGCCCACCCTTCTTCTCCCTTTGCCATTGCAATGCCCCAGCTCCCCCCCTGCAGGGCTGGAGGTCTCTGGAGCAGCCCAAGGCTCTCCCAGGATCTCCTCCATGGATCTGCAGGACGCGGCTCGGAGCAGCAGCACTCGCGTGTTTGGGCTGACATCTAGTGTCGGCATAGACAGCGCCTTTCCTCCCTGATCTGAAAAGAAGAATGAAGAGGACATTTCTTTGATTAGCACTTTTAATCTGGTCAGAAACCTGACCCATAATCCCGCGAGTATCTTCGCTCCATTAAAGACCGAAGAAAATAATCACAGAACACTCAAAAGTGGAAATAAGTTTTGTTAAGGAAACTTCTCTGCCCTAGATTTCCTGCAGCAGAGTGTCGGGTTTCTGACTCCAGCAGGGGGGATATATTCGATAATGGAGTGGTACAGAAATAGGAACAGCTCAGCCTGGGGGGCTACAGGGAGGGACCACAAACAAAGGAATCCCTGGGCTTTTATACCCTTATAGTCCATGTACCTGCTCCAATGGTTATTTTTGGGTCTGGGGTCTTCCAGTTGCTCACTGGCTGGACAGTTATCACCCTGTGTCACCTTTCTCCCGTGTTTTTCTA